GTGCCCCTTCTTTACATCTGCTCCTTAAGCTTTTCATTGAGGTTTCTGGTGGTGACACCCACATACTCTTTGTTAAGACCCAATTGATCATTTTTGAATAAATAGACTTACTCAGCAAAATTCAATTAATTATTACATGTATTTTTGGTATAAAACATTTTTTAAAATTAGTATATCAAATTTTACAAAGTTGCCAATCATTTGTTGCAATAAAACTAACTGAATAATAATTGTAAATTTAAAATAATAGATTTTTCTGTTATATTAACTTAACCAAAAGGATATAATGTGATATTTGAATCTTTTTGATAAAAGCTGAAATGAGAATTTATTTTTAGTTTTGTTGTCTTACAATGGGTTTATATCTACATAAATTAACGCATTTGTGAAAAATGTTCTTTCCTTGTATAAACTGATTTTTTTTTAATTTAGGATCTCCTAGATATATTTTTAGATTAGAATTTAGAATATTTTGTAATTCAAATAAATGAATTTAATATGAGATGTGGCTTAACTGATTACCTCTAGTTCAAATTGTTCGACATCTTATTAATTAATTAGCTGTATCCTAAAGCAATAAGACCATTGAAATTTAAATTTTCACAAAAACATTTTCAATCAAACGTTTTTGTGTACAATTTACTTTAATTTGATTGGAAATTAAAGTAAATTTTGTGTGTTTTAGGAATGACATTGGAACGAAACTGGAAATGGCATCATAAAACTTAGTTTTTGTCTCGTGATAAAGTTTTATCTCTTATTCAAAAACAAAACAAATAATTATCTAGGTTAGCTGGATTTTTTTTCTACAGNAAAAAATTTGTTAGGCTAAACATCAATGAAAATTCAACGCAAAGTTGGTTAATAGTGATATACTAATAAACTAATTACATGGGATATACTAATATCCTAATATACTCTACTAATAATGTATCTTTTCCCTTCTTTTCGGTTATCCGATTTTTTCAGTTATCCGACCAATCTGAGTCCCCAATTGAGTCGGATAATCGATGCTCTACTGTAGGTTCTTTTAATGCTAGTCTATAAAAGCAAAATATCCTGTAATTTGTCTTAATTGCATCACTTAAATGTTATCAGGTAGTTATTGTTACCAGTTCAGGCAAGTCCCAAAGCAATTACAAGTAGAATCTACTGCATATAATACATAAGATCATTAGAAAGCAAAAATTTGTTTGCAAATTTAATGTCAAAAGAAAAAAACTAATAGATTTGTCTTTTACAAAAATATTAATAAATTTAAAGAACAATTACCTGTGTGTGTGTTCTTCCTATTTTAATGATATCATTAAATTCATTGGATTTACTTCTTAATGCATCTAAAAGCTGTTTTAATGCCGGAACGAGAGACAATTCCACCTCCATCGCCGCTGCAATATGCATCGCCGTAGGAAAAGTGTCATTGGAACTCTGTAAAAAAACTTTTACAGTGAATAAAAATACTTTAACTATTACAACATCAAGATTATGAAGCTACCAGTAACTTATAAGAGTTTATTGATTATGTCATTTTTCTTCTGCTAGAAATAACCAACATTAAATTATAAAGATTTTCTCATCAATAAACAAAAAGAAATGACATTGCATATTACAAAAAATGCTTGCTTCTATTTGCCTTTATTAAGGAATATAAATTCTAATTTCAAAATAATTAAGAAGTCCATCTAATTAATAAAACAATTCTGGAATGCTAGGAATAGAACATTATCATTAGTACCGGTGATTAGGTTAGAAGATATCTTTAGTTCACAGTAGTCATTCGTCATTTGAAAATTAGCCAAGATTCAACATTTGTCGTCGTGACGATGTTATCTAATTAATGCTAATTCTCCACAATTCTCTTTGAACAAGATAGAGGAATGGCTAGTCTCGCATATTGAAAAGCACCTTGGCTCTACGTGTCCAGAAATATATAAAAATTTATCTGTCGGTGTTGAAGAATTTACATTTTACTCTACATATCTATTTTAAAACACAAGTCTGACATAAGTGTGGAGAAATCCTTGGAATAATGCTAATCCTAATGTAAATCATGCATGTTCTAACACGAAAACTGTGAACAATGTGAACACTTTGGTGATAAACGAATACGACAAAAGACAAACATCATCATTTAGAATTTGTGGCCGTCGTTCTCGTCAACAATGTGAATGCAGACAAATTAAACTGCTAATTCCGAATAAAATGTTATAGTATTGCATTATAATTTCAATCTGGTTTCATCTTATTGATAACAGAATAACAAATATAGTTGTTTATCCTCTTCTAAGACAAATAACATTCAACATTTTACTTTAATACGTTCATTTTTTTCAATACAGAATTACTCAATATTAACTTACTGTTTTAATTCATTTGATTCAAAATTATAAAACTATAATTGAAAATATGAGATGTAGCGTTTCAGTTTTAAAAAAAACATGGAAAAATTGCTTAATTTTAACTCAAACATGTGCCATTTAAAGAATGATAAAGCAACGACCATCTGAAAGTTCAAAACTGTTTTGTCTGAAGGTTAAATAGTTTTTATGGCTCTATATTTTCAATATTCACGTTGTATGAGTACAACAGTTCTGAATTAATCTCACTAAAATCAATCATCTTGATTTTAACTTAAGGAGCTTGGATATTTGATTGTAAAGGTACAGAAAATACTTACCTGACTTTTATTTACATGATCATTAGGATGGACAGGTGTTTTGCTTCCAAGTTTACCGCCTAATATCTCAATTGCCTTATTTGAAATCACTTCATTAACATTCATGTTAGTCTGCGTGCCAGAACCCGTCTGCCATATGACCAAAGGGAAGTTGTCCTGTAGTTTACCTGCTATTACCTGCAATTGACAAGAGGTTTATTGTTAAAAATGCCTTAAAAATTTTTATAATACATTTTAATAATACAAAATTAAATATTAACTTCATCAGCAGCTTGTGATATAGCATTTGCAAGTTTGGGATCTAATCCAAATTCTTTATTAACTTCTGCTGCAGCCTTTTTCAATATTCCAAATGCTTTAATAATTGGATCCTATGAAATATAGTAAAAATTATTTTGTAAATTAAAACAATAACATTGACTCGTAATTAAATAACCAATAAAATCTATAGAAATTGTTATTATTTTGTACGTACAGGCATTCTTTCTGAAGGACCACCAATATTAAAGTTCATCATAGACCTCATAGTTTGAGCTCCATAATATTTACTAGCTGGAACTTTCAATTCTCCAAAAGTATCGGACTCTGTCCTGAATTCTTCCTAAACAAACAAGCAAATATAATACATACATACATTAGTGAGAACTTTTGTTATTAATTAGACAGATTAATTAATTAAATTCTAGAATTTGGCCTAATATTAATTATTGGCATTTATCAATAGATGACAAAGCAGATTAGGCATCAGCCTACCACTTTCAGGGCATGGTATTAAATCTGTGGTTGGAAAAACCTCAGGTATTTTTTGGGGTGATCTGTTGTGGTACGTTGGGCTCTATCCTTTATCATTCAACCTTCGTGGGCCTAGCTGAACTACCAATGGGCATGATTGTATATGAACTACAAATGAGCATGATAAGAGGGCCCACAAGGTAGAAACACCTTGTGGGCCCTCTTAGTGTCCATAGGACATGAAACGTTTGTTTTGCAAGGAGTTGACCAGAGAGAGCTTCAATGCCAGAACAACATGGATTGATAAAGGGGACAGCATTGCAAAACTGATGGACTTTCTGATAGAAAAGGGTATTGATAAGACTGATAGTAGCAAGCATCTGCACCCAGCCATAGGACCAAGCTGTGGGATCCTCCTGGAGGGTGGTGACCCGCACTCTGCAGGGGTCAATATCTACGTAGACTAACGGGCCCCGGATTGATAGTGGTACCGGAGGCTCGTTCATGGTTTATAACCAGGGTGGTAAGGTTCTCCACCAACAGTATTTTAGGTTAGACAATCACTGTTGTAATAACCAAGCTGAGTCTCTGGCCATCTTAAAGGCACTCAAGTACATCCAGAAGACACCCAGACAATTCACTAATGCCAAGATAAAAATCATAACGGATAGCAAGGTGGCGTTACATCAAATTAATAGGTGTAACGTGAACCTCATAATAGTTAACGACATCATCAGTACATTGGCATCCTTGGATCGGGCATTGGACATCACAATGGTATGGATAAAAGGCCATTCTGGCAACAAGGGGAATGATCGTACAGACTTCCTCGCAAGAAAGGCGATTTCCAACATAAACTCAAGTGCTTACTCAAGGGTCCCAGTCAGCTGGGTTTTAACACAACTGCACAGCTACTTTCTTAGCTGCTGGCAACATCAGTGAGATAATAGTACCGCTGGTAGGACTACCCACAGTTTCATTCCATCGCTGAAGGAAAGGGCAAAGTTCTCCTACTTCACCCCATCCTATGTACTTACTCAACTATTGACCAACCACGGCAACTTGCATGCATATCTGGCATGCTTCCTAAATAAAGGTAACGGGTAATGCCCCTGTCCTCTCAGGAAATTGGAGGATAGTGCCCTCTCTACAACATGGAACGGGTGAAGCCTCATCGCAGTGGTCTATGCTGAACTCGAAGTGTGGCCATGTTCTCCGGACTTGTTCCTCAAAAATAAAGACATTTATGAAGCCCTTGTGGACTTTGTATGTAAGATTAAAATTCTCAGTTAACAGTGCACCCGTGGGTCTCCCCCATGTAGTAGTCAATGGTACCGCTGCTGTTTGGTTAACTGGTTACTTTGTTCAGCAGTTTCTGTGGCATCAATTATAGTAGGATTCACTAATTCTTGGGATTGATCTGTTGCGTACTGTTCTTCTCATTACACATTTTTAAGGGCTTAACTCCATGTGTACTAAACCATTTGTATGGTTCTGTAAGTTGTCATGTATTCCTGAATATTTTGTATATACTCATTTGTTGTATTGCTAGTTTTCTGATTAGCAGCACTGCTTATGTTTTGTGTTTGGGTTCATATATATGGTCCCATCAGCTCCATGTGATCCCCCAACCACTTTTCTTCCCTCCTTCCCCCCTCTCCCCTTTTACTTTCCGGGCTATGCTGAAAAGCGAGGCTGTCACTACTGTAACTGTAACTGTAACTGCCCATAGGACAGAGTTAAAAATGGAAGCTGTTCCTTACCGATTTGGAGTAAACTTAAACACACATAAATATATATAATCAGTTCTAACATAAACAACTTTAATTATATCATNGAACGAATCAAAATAAATAGAATAAAACTAAATAAAGTAAAATAAAATAAAAATACAAATATAATAACATAACATATAGAATTACATCGACCATGCGCTATGTATCAGATTTTAACAAGCCATTCCTGATCATATACTTCCAGGCTGATGATAACCGTTGGCATCCTTCTAGTTTAAACATTTTTCAGTAAGGCTAAATTTATATATTTTAAACTTTTCTAAACTCAATGCCAGAATTAGTGAACACACCAGTGTAACAATCCTGGCCTCAGCCCATTCAACCACTAAACCATCAGTTTGTGCCACTCTGGATAGTACTGTAGAATAGTGCCCCTTCTTTACATCATGCATAAACTCCTTAAGCCTTTTGTTTCAGGTTTCTGGTGGTGACACCCACATACTCTTTGTTAAGACCCAATTGATCATTTTTACGTAAGGTGTATGTGTGGATAATATTTAATGAGTCTGAGTGTATGTTGAAATGAAATATATTACCAAGCATAAAAAATGTTAAATTTCCCAATATTTTTTACTCCCAGAATTCACTATTCAGGTATTGGCACTCTCAGTTGTAACTGTAATAGAAAGGTACTTTTTAAGTACAATATATCTCGAATTTAAACTTTAATTTTGCTAATGTCTGTATCGGCAAATTCGAATAAGGATTTTCTAGAAATTATTATGAGGGCCATTTAAAACACTTCATATCCCTAATTTGATTTCTTTAGAGGCATTATATAGATGTCAAACAAAAATGTTAGTAGTAAGTAGTGAGATGAGACCTCTAAGATGGTGCCTTCAGCTGTGGCCAGATATGCCTATGCATTAATGCAGTGGTTCTCAAAGCGGGTGCCGCAAGAACGCCACAAGGGTGCCGCGAAATTTTTAAATAATTAAATTAAAATTACTTAAAATAATTGAATTAAAGTATTAAGTTAAATAAATAATTAAAAGATACCTTTATAATAATAACTTTTGTTTTGAATGCTTTTGTGTTGTTTGGAAATAAACTTACTTACTTTAATAAAAAACTTTTATTTTTTTCAAAGTCTTCTCATCCTTCATATCTTTACTAACCGTAAAAAGCAAAATAATAAATAATAATAATAGGGGTGCCGAGAATTTTGTTTAATAATTTCAAGTGTGCCACCTGACAAAAAAGTTTGAGAAACACTGTCCTAAAGGATTACTTGCACAATGTTGGAAAGATCTCTTTTGCCCCTGGACAGATGTTATACAGAATATCTACTTAGACATTTATATGTACAGTACAACCTAATTGCATTGTTCCATTTATCATTATTTTTTCCACTTATAATATCTGACTTATTTGGTCCCAAAACTATCTCAATGTAAATAGCATTATTTTTTCTTACTTAGATTAATAACAATTTGAGATATTTATATAAGCCAAACGATCACTGTAACGAATTGGGCTATTTTTCTGATAATTATAATTATTAAATTTAATATGAGACGGTGCCTAAAGCCTACCTCTAGTACCAAAAATTACTTAGAATTTAATTATTAATAGTAGCAGAAGAAAGCCAAATTCATTACAGCAATCATTTGATTTTTTCTTATTTTCATCAATTTTCAAATCATCATTTTATTGCATCAGTCATTGGAAAATTATGGTCTTGATCAACATTTTCCCACATTGATAGATTTTCAAATTTGAAATGACTATTTAGTAGCTTGGGGAATGAATGCTTAACACAGCCAAGTGTCCCTTGTTTACTTAGTATTGCCTGGATTGCCTGCATGTTGAAAAATCAAACTGTCATCTGCAATACTCCATCAAAGATTCTACAATACTAAATTAGGAAGGCTGGCATCAGTGTCTTTGATGTCAGTGTAACCAAGGTACAAAGCCCCATCTCTCAAGTAGGGAATGAAGATACTGCCAGACCACCTTTCTTGTCATATAAATATGCAACATTTCATGCTAATTTCTTAATGTTATATAAATGAAACATTAGATGAATGTAACATATAATTAAAAAAAAATCTCAAAAAAATAGAAAATAATTACACATTAAATGTATTTAGAAGAAGGAAAAACAGTAAGTATAATACTATTACTCCATGATACTACTCAAGACCCAAATCAGAAGTATGTACTGTACAGTACCTAATCTCATTCTACTGCTCCCCAGCAGTAGATCTTCAACATCCTTACATCTTCCTAGAAACACAATTTTCAATCTGCTTCCTTCTCCAATCTGGTTCAGCCCAACAGAAGATCCCATGGGTTGCCTGTTGAATGAGCTCATTGCTGCCATAGACCTATTTTTAATCAATACTAGCCCCTCCCTACATTCTTGGCAGTATCAGGGAAAAATGGATTGATGTATACTTAGGATATAACGCAATTATGAGATAATCTCTGCAATGTACTATGCTAGAACAGTCAACCCCAAGCGATCACAGATATATCAAGACAATCATCTCTAACATAATACATAACAGGCCTATGAGGCTATGACAATATCCACCAAGACAAATTTAACAAATTATGAGGAAAATATAAAGCAAATTTGGTCCCCTCCCATGTTCATGGATATTTCCTCAGATTCTTCATCTCCATGTTCATGGAGATGAAGAATCTGATTGATTATCTTTATAGGATGCTACATAAATTATATTTCCTGTCCACAGAAATAAAAACAAAGAGGATCTTGGCCCCTTGGTAGACAGACAAGCATGCACGATATGCAAAGCGCCATTTGAGAAGCAACAGAAACCCCGATATTCAACATTCACTCAGACAACATCTCATCTTGAAGACTAAGGAGTACAAAACTGCCATCAATAGAGCCCGTTCTGCTTCTTGGAAGGAATTCTGCACCTCCACTTGCTATGCTAAACCATGGTCCACCCCCACCACATTGTTATGAAGATGATGATATCCTCAGGCATCCCTCCCACAATGGCCACAAACAACTTCTTCACAGACACATACAAGCACATTCTTAAGCAGTTATTCCCTCCTGATGATATGAAGATATTGATAGATACAGAATATCATCAAGAAGTTAGGAGGCAGGCCA